GTTACTACTAGTAAGGCACTTGTTTCTACTAGCTTCTTGTTACTACTCTTCAACGGGTATGTCTCGAGGTCGCGACCCAAATTCGGGTCTCCCGTCGCCATAATCTTTGCAACCTGAGAGATTCCCCGTGGGCCCAGGTCGACGCGACTGGCTCGCAGGGCGGCCTGGCAGAATGAAGTAGGCGACACTACCCAATAGAATCTGTCCCAATAGTGTGTGCATCTGCTGTTCAGCCTGGAATAGGTCGGAGCCATCTTCCTCCCGGTGCATTTTGAGTGTTCATACCACCCTGACGGTGAATTTCAGGTGCTAGCCCAATGAAGTATCAAGTCGTCCTGCTTTTTGATCAGATCTCTCTGTTTGGAATCTTTCTCCTGATCCTGCACTAGCAGTCAAACCCTGGGAAGTCAGACAAGCTACAAAAGAGCAAAGCAAAGCTGAAAAGCAAACAGCAAAGAGCAAAGCTATGCTACGCTGCTACGCTCCTGTTGGGAGGCTTTCAGGGCAGCCTCCACATCCTTCAGGTCTTCTGGTGACTCTCGTCTGGCATACCTGGTGCAAGTGCTGCATGTCATACACGTACAACGTCTGTGCGTGATAGTCCGTCGTGGTTCGTTCGAGTGGCAAACAAGTTGAGATTCGTCGGTTGCACGGCCACCGACATATTGTACCTGTTGGACTTTGTGAACATCTATAGGTACAAAGATTGTTGGGCATGTTGAGGCCACCCTTGTTGTTCTTTCTACTAGGGTGGAGGCCATCACTACCAGGTTAGAGGCCATCGCTACTATTAGGTTGGAGGCCATCGCCATTGGGTTGAAGGCCATCTAAGGCATTTTGAGGCTACCATTGCTACCACTCGGGTAGCGGAGCCTCTTTACAGAGGCTCGTGTGAGAAGAGGATCCAGGTGTCAGGGACTGCATAGCCAATGAGCCACCCCTGAATTGAGTGGAAAGCAATGGAGAAAGTGACCAAGTCCAAGGATGGCGTGGCAAAGTTCTAGGGATCGGCAAGAAAGCTGATAGTGGGCAAGCGACCCGACTGTTTTTCACGCTCTCATAGAGTTGAGTACCTGATGCAGCACCTTCGGAAGAGTTTGGGCCGACGACAAATCCCTGAGCTGACAGAACACCTCAACCGTTACTTCAGGGCAAGTAGCAGAAAGAAGTCAGAGACCATGAATGACTACATCACAAAGACCGAAGTCTATGCAAGCAAGGCAAAACAGGCTCTCGTGCGGGTTCAGCAGTACAAGAAGACAACGAGCGAATCCACCTATGCCTCCAGCACGACCAGTCAGACGAGCTGGAGTACATGGCACAACCTGCGGCACCATCGCTACCACTCGCACTGGTAAGCCACAAAATTCCTGCCTCTCTGTGCAACTGAAACAACCTGAAGTAGCTACTCTCAACGCATTGGAAAAAGCACCGCGTACTGGGATCAAACATAAAGTGGGCCATGACAAGTCATTCTGTGGCAACTAAGTGCCAAACATCAGCAAACTAGATCTCAATTGAAAAAAATCAATGCGAGCACGTGCAGTTGGACCTATCCATAGCCATCCAGTTGGACCCAATGTTGACATCTTCATCCACTCGTTACCCGTTTCGCGCACAACGAGGCTTGGATCGCCCTCTCCAGCTCGAGATCTTCTGGCCTCAACATGTGATTTTGTTGGGCACTCCTGTTCGTTCGAGGGATGTCACTCGATCGGGCGCCCTTCGGTCTGTTAAGGGGACCGGTCGTTTTCAAGGTGCCAAAAATTCACATCTAAAAGTCCAGCTATTAAATGCCAAAAGGTCAACAGCAGGGAAAAACCTTCTTGGAAGGAAAGAACCCTGCGCAAGGGTCCGCGTGTGGGACGAAGTTGTATGAAACCAAACACACGCCGAGCCGATGAATCAGCAACAACAAAGAAATGGGTGGAGGCCATCGCTCTTAGGGTGTGGAGGCCATCGCTATTAGGGTGGAAGGCTAGCAAGTTGCAGGCCTACTCAGCGCTCCATCTCATCTGTCTGTCAGGCCTCACGCGTGATGCCTCCAGAGCCGCGATGAGTTCCAAGTCCTGAGCAGCAGCACCTCCGAAAAAGTCCACACGAGAGGCCGCCAGTGCCGCCTGTGATCGCGCGGCATGCACCGGGCACAGCTTTGGGGCGGGCACCGACCATGGAAACCATGACGAGGTCGTGTGTGGATGGTCATGTTGGATGCTACTAGGAGCAAGGACGCTACTAGGGGCTCCTGGGATCAGGCTACGGCAGAAGATCTTTCAGATGTTCTAGTTTCGGTGCTCAGATCTGACAGATTGGAGGGTGACACTGACAGAAAAACTGCCTACAGCTGCCAGCCACAAATGAAGTGGTCTTGGCCGTCTCTTGCACAGCTACAGGTTCAATCAGTTACAACAACTCATTGGTCATGCTCATCACTGGTCATTCCCGGCCTCTAGCTCCGGATCCCAATCTTCATCGAGGGCCATGGCACTATGGCACGACCATAAATGAGGAAAATCTCATGAAAGCATGCATGCCGGAAAGGGTCGTTGTCGTTGCATCTCTGTGCTTCATGTGTCATGTTTGATCCAGGCATTCACGGTAGTTACATATTCCATGGATGCTCGTGTCTTCCTATGCCTAGTGAGTCAACTCTGCAGCAGTCCTGGAATCCATGAAGCTTTAAAATCAAAAAAGATCAAACTAGCCCCAGAAAGCACAACGCAGTCTGAGCTTGCGTCATCAAAAGCTTGCTCCTCCTCGCTCTGTCGAACCTACTTGGAAAGCATCTGGTCCAGTTGCAAGATGCAGCAAAGCTTTTGGGGCTGAGCCATCACTCTTGGGTTACGGTTGGAGGCCATTGGCCTCTCGTTGGAGGCCATCGCTGGTGTCAGGGCCGAGTGGCAAAACCACCAAACTCCACGGGGAGAAACGAAAGCACGACGAGTGGATACAACCAGGAGATTGATACAAGGACATGTTTGCATAGACGCTGGCCTCTGAAAGCTCTTGCTCAAAGAGGAAAATAACTCTGTCCTTCTTCTCCTGCCATCTCAGTACAGAATTTTGTAGATCTATTGTCCAGATAAGCTTAGCTATGGATTCTATGGATTTATGAGATATGGAATGGATAAGGTTTCTCTGCGAGCTCTGCGCCACCGATCCATGGTTTCTGTCCTCCTTGCTGAGAGGATATTCCCAGCTTTCTGACAGCCTCCGAAGTCAAAATGAAACTTGAAGAGACAATGATCATCGCTCTTAGGTTGGAGGCCATCGCAATTAGGTTAAAGACCATCGCAATTAGGTTGGACTTGGGTTGGATGGAGGCCATCGCAATTAGGTTGGAGGCATTTGGAGGCCATCGCTAGTAGGGTAGAGGCCACCGCTAGTAGGGTGGAGGCCATCACAATTAGGTTGGATGCCATCGCTAGTAGGGTGGAGGCCATGCCCTTCTGGTGACCTTTCAGCACCAGGGCCTTCTTTCCATTTGACGAGCAGGAGGAGGGGCCGACTTCCTCTTTTGCCTGAAACTCCAAGCCAATTTACTCAAAGAAAACACTTAGAGTCTTTGCTCAAACCCGTCGTGGTAAAGCCTCTGGGCAGAGTCGGAGGGGCTCTCAGCCTCAACGAGTGGCTCTGGGTGTCAACAAGTTTCGTTTTGATGTGTCGAGCCTCCATGGATGGCACAGTCACATGGAATTCGATGCGAAGCTGAAGTTCAAAGGCTCAGAATGTGTGAATGTCTATCAGTCTGTGTGTGTGGGGGTGACCGTGTGAAATCGTGGCTGGTCTTGGTCTAGAGATTCAGTTGTTGATCTCAGCATCCTCCCGTGCAAGAAACCCACGGGTCAAAGGTCATTCATGTCATGGGAAAGTGTCGCAAAGCTTGAGCCAAGCAAAAGTGTCAGCGGCACTAGAAAATGAGTTGTCCATCAAGAAACATATCAAAAAAGTCTAA